TTCTCAAAAACTTTCTCTTATAGGTAAATCAATTGAAAAAGAGTCCAACTTTTTTAAAAGTTCAATTCCTAGAGGTGTCTGGGGGGAACATATAGATCCTTTTTTTTTTTTAATGAATGGCCAAGGTTGTTTGTCCACAAGCAGAATTTCTTTCTTTTTTTCTGTATCCCATTTTTTTAATTAAGAAAATTTTTTCATTCAGTTTACACACCAGTCAAAGATCCTCGTCTTCCCTCCTCCTGCCCCACCAGTCTCCCCTCCCAACCCATCCCCCACTCCCTCCCACAAGAAGGCTGCACAAGGTGTCCCATCATAGGTAGTGGGCCCCACAAAGCTCGCTCATGCACCAGAGATGGATTCTGATCCTACTGCCAGGGGGCCTCCCAAGCACCTGGGAAATCAAGTGTACTAATGTCACACATAGATTCTTTTAAAAGTTAAGTTTTTGAAACATATTTCAGACAGAAATTATCACTGACTTTATATGTACTATTCTGAGCTTTGACAAATGTGAGATGCACACCACAGTTAAGTCCTGTCACTAAAGCAGCTACATGTTATCATATGGTCTGCTGTAAAGTCACACCTGTGCCCTTTGAGCACCTGGGACAGACGAACAGGTTCTATCTGTAAGAAATTGAGAACAAAACATTTCCACTGTGTTTGTGAATGCTTCTGTCTTGCTTTATTTTTCTTTCTTTCTTCTTTCTTTCTGTCTTTATTTTTTTTTATTTTTTTGTTTTGTTTTTTGAGACAGGTTGTGATCCTACTTAGTATGGTGTGAGGGTTTGTTTGTTTTTTACTATTTCGGTATCTTATATGATATATTTATATCTATAATCATTAGCATTAGTTTTCTGTACATGCTGTCTTCCAGATCATGCTGTTAAGGTTCAGTTCTGATTATAAGAATAAGCATCTTCTACATTTACATATGCTTTAGAATGATTTAATGACATAGACCAGCCTGTTGCTTAATAGGTAGGCATGACTGTCTCCTGCTCCAAAGGTGTTTATGGAGGCAACAGCCTTTGATTGATCCTCCCTCCCCCTCCCTCCGTCCCTCCCTCCCTTTCTTCTTTCCTTCCTTCCTTCCTCCCTCCCCCTTTCTTCTTTCCTTCCTTCCTCCCCCCCTCCTTCCTTTCCTTCTTTCCTTCCTTCCTTCCTCCCTCCTTCCCTTCCTTCTTTCCTTCTTTTCTTCCTTCCTTTCTTTTGGTTTCTTGAGCACGATCTCACTCTAGGCCAGGCTTACATGGAACTTACTCTGTACCCTAGGCTTACCTCGAACTCTCCCTGCCTCAGCCTCCAGAGTGCTGGGATAGCAGGCATAAGTTGCCATGCTTGACTAGCCATCAGTTTTAAAGCACTCTCTTTCACTCACTGTTGGGAATTTGCATTAAAATTTCTAAGTTCATTCAACAATTTAGAAAATCAGATGGTGAAAAGCAAATTCATCTGTTTCTTAAAGTATAACAAAATGTAAAAGAAAAATATGAGGTCTAAATTCAACATATTTCCTGCATTTCTTTGGATTGATTTCATTAACTCTTGGCAAACATTACTTTCGCTTACATAAAGTTTATTGATTCCAATATGGTGTTCAAAAGTGACTAATTGTAGTTGGAGTTTTCCTGTCCCAACTGCCTGCTCCCAAATAACTGACCCAGAGGATTAATATCACTTATAAATGCTCAGACAGCAGCTCAGGTTTGTTACTAACTAAGTCTTATACTTAAATTAACCCATATTTCTTATCTATGCTTTGCCACATGACTCATGGCTAATTACTTCATTTTCTATATGTCCTGCTTCCTTGGCAGCTGGCTGGCATCTCCCTGACTCTACCCATCTTCCTCCCAGAGTCCTCTGTGTCTGGGTGTCCTGCATATACTCCCTGCCTGGCTACCGGACTTTCAGCTTTTTATTAACCAATGAGAGTAATACATACTCACAGTGTACAGAAGGATTATTTCACAGCATTTCTCCTTTTTGTTTAATTAAAAAGGAAGGTTTTAACCTTAACATAGTAAAACTATATATGACACAACAGTTATTAAGTAAGAATACAGGTACAATATCTAGTTTTTCTTTGTATTTGACAAAATTAAAGAAAATACTCTATCATGTATCTTAACTTTGTGAGTTCAAATTTTATCATAACTAAGGAAAACTGTAACTATAACTATCTAGTCTTCAATTCCATCAAAGACCCTGGAAAGTTGAAATGTAACCTAATGACAGGGAAATCAGGCTGTCTGGACAGTCACCTAAAGTTCCTCTGCAATGTTGGGGCATCCAACTCTGTTCTACAGGCCTAGAATGTCTGACAGACTTTCCTGTGAAGCAGGGAATTTTTAAGAACTGTCCTACCTTGTCTTGGCAAAGTTTGGCAGGTACCTTTTATGTATCCTGCTGGTCCAGTTTGGACAGTATCTGTTAGCAATTGAGGCAAGGGCAGTTTCTTTGCCCACATGGCTAGTTTTTGCCATAAAGAAAACAAATTCCATATAGAGTTTCTTTGATGCCCATCATCTTCTCTGAAGTAGATTGGTGCTGCCAAGAGCAGATATGTCTCACTGTCATGAAAAGCCTTATGTTATTGGATACATGAAATGTCATATTCTGTAAGTCTTTGAGGTATTTGAAGACCATCTACTTAAATATATCTGTGTATGACCTTGAAAACATACCTGACATGACTATAAGTTTGACTAATATAGATGACTATTAATCTGCATTTCTTAATTATACATTATATTTTTAATGAGCTGCATAAACACAAAAACTTAAACAGGAGTAGAAATATACATACAGTATAACAAAATTAACTTTAAATTTGTATCAATATACCAAAATCCATACCAATGTAAAATATTTAAGATTAATAGTTGTTTTTGGGATTAAAGTAGATTCAGTAATCTACCTTTTTATCCTATTATTTCTATATCCCCCCTTTTCTTTTTAGAACAAGATCCCTGAATTTAATCTCCTTTATTCAGCTTTTTTCTGACCATTATCAATAACAACTTGTAACCAACCCCCCTTAAATGATAATAAATATCTATAACCCATTTTTTGAGAATGTGGGCATAGTTTTCTAGACTATTTCCTGATGATTGGGGGCACTGGTAATCTTTAGGGGAACCTGAGAAAATTCAGGATTCTAGTCAAATTGTGACTGGAGTATTCTGTGAGGCTGGATCACCTCAACAAGCAGCCTTGAAGCTATTCTGGATACAGAATTCTGAGGAAACTGTAACAGAGGCATTTTGAGATGCTGGGTCACCTGGGACATTTGTTTTCATTGGTGTCTAGTCCCCTTATTCTGAAAATGCATAAACTTTTAAAGGCAACATACATATCTCTGCATTAATACAAGTATAATAGACTTGCATTATACCTAAATCAGTGAAAAATAATTTTTTGTTTTATGTTTGAGCAGGTAAAATATACATAATGTGTCTTGTAGTTCTTTTAGGTTGTTTTTCTTTATGTTTGTAGCCAAATTTTTTCAGGGGGTCTTCCTCAATCAAACTTAATTTTTCTTAACCCAGAATAAATCTATAGCCTTTCATTTCCTGTGGAGATAAAAGTATAACCTCTCCCCCAAAGTAACACACCTTTTGACTTAAATTTTGAGGTCAAAATATTTTTTAAATATATAGGTTGCTTGAATCTAGCATAATCAATGTCTTTTTCATAATCCAATGTCTCTTAACAGCCAAAAAATTTAAAGACAACACAATAACATACAGGATCCAGACTCTCTGTGTATTTCCCATCTTTATGTGGATTATTATTTTTTTATTATTCTATTCCTTTTTAAAGTACTACCCTTTTTTTCTCTCCCAAACCTACATATATTTTTAAACACACTGTAACCTGTTTAGAGGCTTTTTCCATCTGAATCTGTCTTTACTGCATATCTGTATCCTTTTTTGTCTGCATGAGAAAAAGTGCTAAACCCACCATGCATCATGCTGATAGAGCTCTCAAGCCCACAAGTAGTGGCTGGGAGAAGCTTCTCTGTACTGAGGCCCATGTGAGAGACTTCAGGAACCCACCATGTTGCTTAGCTCATGGTCATTGGTGGCCAGCTCCATATCACAGGCAGCTCTAGGGAGATGCATCTCTGCATTGCAACTGGCGTGAGACTGTAAGACTAGGAGGCCGTGTTTGTCTCTGTTTCTATGCATTTAGAAACTTTTTTAAGCTTTCTTGGGTTTCCTGTGGAAATTCTTGCCAAACATTTGAGCACCATATGTAGGTAGAGTTTTCCTGTCCTAGGAGTCACTTCCAAATTACCACACAGAGGCTTATATTAATTATAAATGCTCAGCCAATAGCTCAGGCTTGTTATTAGATAACTCTTATACTTAAATTAACCCATATTTCTACTTATGCTTTGCCACATTGCTCATGGCTTGTTACTTCATTTTCTATATATCCTGCTTCCTCAGTGGCTGGATGGTGTTCCCCTGACTCGCCCCTCATTCTCCCAGAGTCCTCTGTGTCTGGCTGTTCCACCTATACTTCCTGCCTCACTACTAGTCTGTCAGCTTTTTATTAACCAAAGAGAATAATACATATTCACAGTGTACAGAAGGATTATTTCACAGCAACTTATACCTCTTTAGATAAGACAGGTGTTTCTACCCTTAATTTCCCAAGAAAGATCTTTAATCTGAAATATACACTAACAAATAGCATGAGACTTGTTTGAACCTGTCAGTTTTCCTTGAGCACACTAGCTGTAACACACTGATGTGTTTACAAGATTATAAAAGTAGTTTATGTTCTTGCCATGTTTTTCACCTGAAGCAGAGACCTGCCTTGTTCACAAAGAGTTCTTTGCATGAACAGTAACATGTAAATTCCAGCACAGCCAGCCTAATGTTCTTCAGAAACTCCCCCTGATCACAGACAAAGGCACCATCGACCCAGAGCACTTCAGCTTCAGCTGGGACATTGATAATAGCAACTTTTTCTCCTTTGTCCAGGACGTCTGTGTCAGGGCTTATCTAGCTCTTCGCCATCACACAAACCTGCTGATCATCCTGTTCTCCATGATGCTGATGACAGGAATGCCCCAGTTAACAAGCAAGGAAGACATTGAATATATCCGGGATGCCCTCACCGTGGGGAAAAATGAGGAGGATGCTAAGAAGTATTTCCTTGATCAGATTGAAGTTTGCAGAGACAAAGGATGGACGGTGCAGTTTAACTGGTTCCTACATCTCGTTCTTGGCATCAAACAAGGAGAGAAACACTCGGCTTAATATTCGGTGCTAGAGCCAAAAGCAATTTTGTGTTCAAAAGCTTTGAAATTAGCATGTGTCAGTCATCAGACTTAAATTTAAAATGCAGTAGGACACTCTGAACACTGGCACTTTGGAAATACAGTTTTTTCCCCAGCTGAACTCTTCACCAGAGGAGAAAACGTTGGCATTGATGATGGTTTGGTTAAATATTCAGCATGCAGCTTCTTTGCTGTTTTTCTTTTCCCTCTCAGGCTCCATAATGTTGGTGAACATTCTAAGTTTAAATAGCCTGGTGACTTGCTTATTATGCCTGATGATCTTATACTGAGTGTCTCTGGAGGTTCTTTAGTAGAATAATTGGTGATACCTGTTGCCACGTGTGTTTACTATGCATTTTGGCTTTCTAGTGTTCTTTCAGCTCCTGGTAGAAAAGGGTGCAAGCACTGCTCAGCTCTGTAGCACTCTTTAAAAGATGTTTCTAAGCATCCCCTCTGCCCACAGATGCTGGGGATATGCTAGAAGCAGGGAGTGCCAGTTGCCTTCTGAGTGCCCTCAGCAATTAGTCTCACAGTGTGCAGCTGGGATGCGCAGATGCTGAAAGCACACTTTGAGCTTGAGCCTTGGCCTCCCCTGCTGGGGTAGCTCTATGGTTATGGATATGAAAAATGGAGGTAAGACCTTTTCCCAGAGTGAATAACCTAGTACAATCAGTGTCATCTCCTCTGGCACAGAAACAGGAAGTGACTAAAGGACCGTTTGATGCCTGCACACTCATCTTTCCCCTTACCCCACCTCCCTTCTTCCTGCCTTGCCATCTCCTGCACTTAGTCCTGGACTTGAGAAATCTTTAAGGACAGTTTTTCCCAACAACTCAAATGACTTGAAAAAGAAAGTCTGCTCTAGGCTTATGGGAATTATAGACACTTATTTGTGAGCTGTTCCATGGATTTTTAAAAAGTATATTACTAAAAGATGGGTTCCAGAAAATATTAGTTTCTAAATGTTTTAATTTTACATTCTGAATCTGAACAGTTTTTTATTTTTAATGGAAAAAGATAGTTGCTATCTAATGTATTCTAAGCTTATAACACACTTACTTGCATATTCATTTTCCAGCTTAAAGGACTTCTAAAAATTGAGGCATCCTGGAGACCACTGAACCATCTTCCTTTAAAGTATTTTCTCATTTCTCAACTATTATATTGTTTGTTATTAGCGTTGATCTACCTTAGAAAGAGATCAGTAAATTATTTAATCAAATATCTTTACCTGTCATTAATTCCATATAAAGAACTATGTCATTGGTGTCCATATTTGAATACAATCAGATACAACTTTTTCTGACTTTTAAATTTTCAAAATAGACACTTCACATAGATGGAGTCCAATCTTTCTTTTGTGTTTGCAGAAGCCAAGTAGCACCTAATTCTGCTTCAAATAAGAATCATCAGGGACACTTTAAAAATGCCCTTGCATTTTTAAACCATCCCACTTTCAGTACATCATAATCTCATTAGTGTGGGATGAGCCTGGGCATAGTATTCTAAGTACTTGAGTTGAATCTAATATACATGCAGGAGAAGAAGCCTTATGCAGCCCATGAAGGTACAGATAACCCTCCTTGCTCACTGGGCCTTCTGTGGCTCATAGCTATCTACAAAAATACTCCTCATTCCTGGCAGCTAACCCCTTTAAAATCTTGCTGTTTCCTGTGTAGAGGGCCATGCCCTGTGCTGAAGTTATATTCTCTCTATGAATGGAGGTTAGGTGTTTTATGGCATTTCCAGACCAAAATTCCTGCTAATCTAAGAGCAGGAAGAATGGTGCATACCAGTTCCAACCAGAAGCCATTCCTGTGCTTCCAAAGAAGAGCCATGCAGACTTTGCACAGACTTTGCCTTTCATTTGAGTTGCTGAAATGATCATCTTGATGATAAAAACAATTACAGAGTGTATCTATATTTAGCTTCTGACACACATGCATACAAATTAGTTCTTCAAACGAGCCAGCTTTTTCATAGAGCTGGAATACATGACACCACATACTGGGTTTCGTTCTTCCATTCTCCAAAGAATGTAATTTCAACTCTAGACTTGCAGATAAGCAAAATTCACCTTCACATGTTTGCTTCCTTCACGAAGTTCTTGCAAATGATCAATTCCTGTGATTTTCACACCTTTGAAAATATTCTAGACCTGGGGTCCTCCTGCCACTGGGTAAATAAATACCAATGTCTCTATCTTCAGTGCTGAAGTGCCTAGTGAAGAACACACAGATCACAGGTAGATGGGTCAGGTCAAAGCAACTTACAAGTGTATCTAAGAGAAGCCAAAAGAAGAAAAAAATACACAAAGCAGCTGTTGTAGACTTGGCCCAATATGACTGTACTTCACTAGCTTTGGTGATGCTCTAAAAAAAAGCCAGAAAGACATTATGGATAAAATATATCAATTAGAAAAAAACTCTTGATTTGCAAACAAATTAAGTATAGTAAGTATATCGTTTTCAAGAGATGGGTTGTTTTATTTTTATTAGTTATTTGAGAATTATGTACAATGAGTTTTGTAAAACGGCAAGAGAGACCTTGGTGGGTTATAGCCAAGGTGCCCCACAGCGGGTAAGAGACAGAGACATGCCATGCAGACCAAGGCCCGGTGGAGAAGGGGGAAGGGAGAAGGGAGAGAGGAAGGGAGCACAGAGCTGCCTCGTGGGGAGAGAGAAATGGAGAGGGAGAGGAAAAAAAGAGCAGGCATGTGGCTGAGGAGAGAAGAGAGAAGTGAGAGAAAGTGGGCGGGTCCCCACCTTTTATGAAGGGACTTTCAGGCACATGTGCAGAGAGACCACAATGAGCACATGACATTACCAGGACCCAGAGTGGGCCAAGGTATTGCTTGCTTATGGGCCAGGTCCCAAGGGGCGGGTCTGAATGCTGACAATGAGTTTTGGCCATAATCACCCAATGCCCCATCTTCTCCCAGATTCACCCCACTCCCCTACTCACAAAACTTGTGTCCTCTTTTTTTTTTCCGCCCATCTATGGCAACACTCCTCAAGAAAGAAAACTCTTCCTCCCCCAGCAGCTATGAATTGCTAATAGTTCCTGGCTAGGGGTGGGACTTCGGACCCACCTCTCCTCTCCATGCTGGAATTGAGCTTTCATGGAGCTTATCATAACTGCTTCGAGTCCATGTGAGCAGCTGCCCTGCTGTGAGCAGAGGACATTGTTTTCTTGTATTCATTCACCACCTCTGTCTCTTGAAGTCTCTCTGGTCCCTCTTCATATGATCACTGAGCCCAGAGAAGATGGTGCAGTATAGATGTTCCATTTAGGGCTGAGTATTGTGCAGGCTTTTATTCTCTGCACCATGGCCATTTGTGAGTCTCTGTGGTAATCATCATCTACTGCAAATAGACACTTTCTGATGTGGATTGAAAGATATACTTATCTACGGGTGTAACAACAAGTCATTAAGGGTTAGCTATGGGAATTCTGTAGCATGATTTGGAAGCTGTTAGTCCTATATTAATGGTCATTGATTGTATTTTTAAATAAATTAGAAAATAAGTTTCCGAAATTACAATTATTGTCTTTTGCAGGATAGGCTCTGTTTTCCATAACTGGCAATTACATTTAACAATAGGAAGAAAATAAAATAAGCTGGGATTTCTTAGCGATTCTGTTGACTAATTTCCAGTTTTATCCAACCTAATAATTCTGGTGAACACATTCAGTTCTACTCTTAGTGCTTGTTCACATGTTTTCAAAGGCTCATTTCAGGACAGATGCCAGGGAATTCTAAAGCACATGCATGGCAAGCCCTATCTGGCATCCAAGATGGTCTCTTGGATTTTAATTACAACTGTTAATTTAAATAAAAAAGAAGAATTTGACATCTTATGTATCTTTTCATGTTTAAACTTCCAAATGTGTCTGAAACTCAAAGTCTTTATTTTAAAAACATCATTATTGAGTGCCCATTGCCTACAAGACCCTGCCCAGTGTGCTCAGGAATCGAGTGTGCTCGGTAATCGAGTGTGCCAGCAGATGGACTGAGTCCCAGTTCTTTCTGTGTTCCTCACATGCTGGTGATACAGACACTGTGTGTGTGTGTGTGTGTGTGTGTGTGTGTGTGTGTGTGTGTGTGTGTGTGTGAGATTTGTGTGTGGGGGAGTGGTTCCTGTGTACGTATGCCCCTGTCTGTGCTGGTGCATGTGCATATGTGCACCTGTGTGTAGGCCAGTGGTCAACACTCGGTGCCTTCTATTACTCTCCACCTAATGTCTCAAGACAGACTCTCTCACTGAAACTGTAGCTCATGGATTGGCTAGAAGAGCTGGCCAGTAAGCCCTAGAGACCTCCTGTAACTGTGACCCATTCTGGCCTCCCTCCCTCTTGCTTACATGCTGGGATTACCCATGTAGACTACTGCACCCTGCTCTTTTTGCTGGGAATACTAACTCAAGTCTTCATTATTGTATGGCAAGCACTTTACTGACTAAACCATCTCTCTAGCCCCAAAGTTGTATTGTCAATGAATTTCAAGTCAATGGTTTCCCTTGAAGGGCAGCACTGGAGTTTACACATACAAGGCACACTCTCCATGACCAAGCAATAGCCCCAGTCTCCAGTGAGTAATCTATTTCTTAATAGGTTTGTTGTAAGTTTGATTGCGTCCCACCACAAAACATACATTGAAATACTGGCTCCAGTCTCTGTGGGTGTAACCTTATTTGGAAATAGATTATATGTATATATATGATCAAGTTAAGATGAGTCCAATGACTCATATGAGATTGAGATGAAGCTTCTGCAGGCCAGGGAACATGTGGAGGTGACAGAATCCTCCTTTAGGCCCTTCCAAGGATGCATGGGCCTGCCAACATTTTGATTTTATACTTCTGGCCTCCAGAACTGTGGCAGGATCTATTGCTGTTATTTTAAGCCACCCAGTCTGCAATACTTGGTTCTGATATGCCTAGGGTACTGATACCAAGTAGATAGCTCAACATTCCATAGAACTGTATGGGGCTGGGGAGGTTAAGTGGTAACAGAACTTACATAGCAACTTGATTGATGGTTTTTGCTGTTATAAGAAAGATTTGAACATATATAAAATGTGACAATGGTAGTAATGATGAGAAACACTAATCACTTAGTGGGTAAAAAATACTTTTGAAAATATTGAATTTCCAGAAGAATAAAATACATGTGTCTAGTAACCATAACAAGAAATCCAATATATTATTTACTAAACATGTACAATCAAGATAACTTAAATTCATCTTCCCTGTCAGCAAAGATTGGTTACTGCCCAGAACTGGTGCTGACTTGAGAGAAAGGGCACTCTGTCATATGCTGTCTCAAAAATAAATTGATTAAAAAATGTAATGGTAGTAAGAGAGTGTGCACATAACACATTTGGGAGGATATACACACACCATACTGTTTGTTTGATGGTACTAAGGAACTGAAGCTAAGTCCTCACACATGGAAGACAAGCGCTCTACCAGTAAGCTCTATCTCCAGTCATTTTTAAATGTGTGTACTTCAAGATATAACCTCATAAGTTACACAGGCTTGCTTTGAGCTCACTGTAGCCCAGGCAGGTCTTGAGATTGTGATCCTCCTGCCTCGACATCCTAAATGGCTGGAAGCTATAGCTTATACTATTAGTAGTGATTTTTGTTTTCTATACATTCACTTTTACATTTGGATTTTGGAGAACTTGAGTTTCTTAACCAGGAAGAAGGATTAATATTTTCATTTAAAAAATTATTCTGCACAACAATCATCTTTGAACTTAGATCATGCCTCACTAAAATCTCAGAAAAATGTTTCTCAAAAGAAAACTAAATTTGAAGTGCATATTATCAAGCGGTGGCATCAAAGCTATTATTGGAAATTTGGGGCATGAAAATGGCCACGTTCAAGTTTCCTTCCTTATCCAGCCCTATCTGATGGTGACCTCTTACCACTGAGACTAGCTTTGGTTTGTCTCCAACAATAGCAGTGCGCTGGAGAAGGCGGACCTGCCTGTGGCTGCCATCTCAGTCAATAATGTCCTGCCTGCTGCAGCCCCTCAGTTCTGCAAACCTGGGCTGCTCCTGGTCACATCTGAAGTCCCCCTAGGAGGTGCAAACAGCCTCATTTTCACTTCTTATGAAAGTCAGATTCTTTTCTAAGCATTTGCTCATTAACACAAGTGAGTAAATCTCCCTGCCTGCTGCTTTGAATTACTCCTTCAATGTGGTTCTGAGTCAGGCACTTGGCAGATGTCCTGGGGACAGTAGCCTACCAAGGAATGCAAGGTCCCTTTGTGGTATAGAGCAGCACTTCCGTGTGCCTCACAGCAGAGGAAGTATCCTAACAATCAAACCCAGAATCTTCTGGTCATATTTTAAAATTAAAATAGGTTCCTATTGTCTAGCAGAAAACCATCCACCATTTCCAGCCTTTGCCCGGTTTACAGCTGAACAGTGCTTTCTGTAACCAGATGTGTTTGGTGGCCAAGTCTACACTAATTCTCAGTACACACACACACACACACACACACACACACACACACGCACACGCACACGCACACGCACACGCACACGCACACGCACACGCACACATGCACACACTCACACACACACACTCACGTGCACTCACACAAGCACACACTATACCTTTTCTTTGCATCATCACCAAACACTTGTTCTATAAAGCCACCAGTCCTGTGGCTACTAAGGGCTTCCCCTGAGGAAGTCTCATAGTCACACAAGTGCCAATTCTTTCACCCTCCACCCCCACCCGGCTCTGCTCAATCCCCAGTTTCAGTTCTAGAAACTAGAGAAAACAGTCTCTCATTTTTAAAGCAGCTCCTTCCTCAGGCACAAATTGCTCAATGTGAATGGAAACATTCGTGGGCTTTCAGGAAGTAGATGGGCTTGATACCTAAATCTCCAGAAATTTAAAAGATTCTGAGACTCATAAGGTCCTAGAAGAGATCCATGTTGATCCAGCAATTTATGAACAGTCATTTTTGAGTCTGAAGAAGGGAGGCAGTGGCAGTTTAGAATAGATGGGACAGTAAAGAGAGTGAGCACAGGCTTTGCATTAGACTGTCCAAACCAAGTGCCAATTTTCACTTGAATAAGTTTTCCAATCTATTCAGTGTTGACTCTCCCACATACACAACAGTAAGAAGTAGAGACAGCAGTCCCCACTCCACAGATTTGCTGGACCAATTAAATGAAAGAACAAATGTGAGGCATTAAATTATCACTCAGTAAATGTTGTTTATTTATTGTTTCTGTTGATTTATTGTTTCTTTCAAGACTAAAGAATGGCAGAAAGCACAGTGTTTGATGGCTTCCTCCTTGGCATGTGACTCCAGGAGCTCTTGACAGATGAGAACCTTGACGGTGCCAGTATGCTAACTGATGTCTTCTCAATAAGGCTTCAAAGCAAAAATAATTTCCATTCAATATCAGAAAATAAGAAATCCTTGAAATATCATCAAACTTTTCAGAGGAACTATTCTAATCAATGTAAATTAGCTCATGGTTCTAGGCCTAACATAGATTAAATAGAGATGCTGCAATCAATTTTAAATGTTACTCTCATTCATTTTTTTATCATCTTGATGGAAGATTTATCTATGTGAAATTCACTAATTTTTAAATGTATAATTTGATGAGTGTTAATGAATCTATATGCTCATGTATTCACTACCATGGTCAGGATAAAGAACAATTTCATCATTCTGGAAGGGTCTCTCATATCTCTTTGCAGTTAATCCCCTTCCATACCTCTCTTTCTTTTTAAAGATTTCTTTACTTCTATGTGTATGTGCATGGATATTTTAACTACATGTGTGTCTGTGCATCATGTGCATACAATGCCAGTGAACACCAGAAATGAGCATTAGATCCCCTGTAACTGGAGTTACAGATGGTTATAAGGCACCGTGTAGGTTCCGGGAAAAGAACTCAAGTCCTCTGAGAGCAGCCAGCTCTTAACTGCTGAGCCATTTCTCCCACATCTCTCATCATTTGAGACCAACAACTGAAGGCTTTGCTTTGTCCAGTGTTTCCTATCAACATCCTCCTGTAACACATTGTTTTCAGTGCCCGGCTTCTTTCATATGGTGTAATGCTTTAGAGTCGTCTATGTTGCCTAAACAAAATATCATTTAGAAAAGCCCACTTTCCCACAGCTTTACTCTAGAGCCATACACCTTCAGGTTTAATTGCCTGCTGTGTGGGATAAGCCATGCCAATGGCTTGTGCTCTGTCTAAGATTATTAAGGAGGATCCCATTATTACTTTTACTTTGTTCTACTTATACAACATAGGCCATGTTCATGAACCTCCCACACTGCACAGGTCCAGTGTGATGGCTGGTTTTTATGTCAACTTGCCACAAATTAGAACCACCTGGATAGAGATCCCCATCTGAAGAATTGTCCTGATTGCCTAAATCAGCACGGGAGACCAACCCACATGTGAGCAGCATCTCTGGTAGCTGCTCAGATTTTTTTTCTCAAGACAAGGTTTCTCTGTGTTTCCCTGGCTGTCCTGGAACTTGATTTGTAGACCGGGCTGACCTTAAACTCAGAGAACTGCCTGCCTCTGCCTCCTGAGTGCTGGGATTAAAGGTGTGTACACCTGGCACAGCCCAGATTTTGCAAAGGACATGGTGAAAGGACCATTACTACCCTCTTGCTCTCTTGGCCTTCCCTCCTGATGCCCAGTTGCTTCTGAGAATGGTTCCTTCGCTGACATCATTACCAGCACTTCCAGGCTTCAATCCTTGACCAGCAGCTCTCTAGGAACTTTCCAGGTTTTCAGTCCCAAATTGGGATTGTTGAGGTACCCAGCATTGTGGACTGAGCAACTACAAGGCTGTTGACCTCTCTGGTGTAAAATGACCACTGTGTGGCTGCCAAGACACCCACTTCAAGGACCAAGCAATTTCCAGATTCTGAGCATCTTTGGTATGAAACAACTTTAATATCAAGTAGACTCTCCTCCCCCAGGTTCATTTTGGTCAGTATTTATCACAGCAAACTAGGACATCAGGGGTGAGGACTGACAAATTCCAAGAGTCTGATTTTCCACAAGTGAAGCCAAGACTACAGCTTTGCAACACACTCAGAACAGCAAAACTCTACAGATGTCTAGCAGAGTCTGTGAAGGAAGAAAGTCAAGCAAAAAGGGTGAAGAAATGAGACGTTCAATCTGTGCTTAAACACTACTCAGAGACATAGTTTTCAACATATGTGAAAAATACAGACCTCAGGCAATCCCACAGTGCCTTAGGCAGTAAGTATAAGATCTACCTCACCTTGGTGACAGGTCCTATAGTCCTTGGTGACATCTGCCTCCTGGTATGCCTGCCTTGTGTGATCCACTTGCCTTACATTTGAACCAGGCTTTGCAATATGTTCCTGGCAAATAAATGATGGTAGAAGTAACATGGGGACATTCCAAATGAGGTTTTAAGAACCTGTGCCTTTCATCCCATGGGCATTCTCTAGCTCTCTCATTCTTACATGCTCAACTTGACAGGAATCTTCAGTTGCTCTGTGGGAAGTTTGGTGTGACAAGGAATCCAAGGAGGTCTCTAGCTATTGACTAAACTCCACCAGCAGATACATCAGTGAGTAGGGACATGGACATTTTCAAGTGGGAGCCTTAAGAGGTCTAGAACCACGGCACATCTAACTCATGCATGGAGTCCTACCCCGTGGAAACAGAGGGTTGGCAGAATGGCTGAGCCTGAGGCCCTGGGTTCTCTCTGCAGCCCCACAAGTAGGTAAAAAATATAAGAAAATGGTGAAATAATATTGTGCTTTCAAACCATTAAGTTTGGAGACAATTTACTATGTGTTGATAAATAGCTAATATATTTAAGAATTGTTTTGAAGATTAAAACAAGACAAAATAATCCAGACAATGGTGGCTCACACCTTTAATCCCAGTACTCAGGAGGCAGAAGCAGGCAGAGCTCTGAGTTCAAGGCCAGCCTGGTCTACAGAGTGAGTTCCAGGACAGTTAGGGCTTCACAGAGAAACCTGTCTCCAAAAACTGAAAAAAAAAAAAAAGACAAAAGAAATCAAGGGATAGGATAGAAGCAAGAGTGGAGTCATTGCCTGGTAACGTCAATCAGAGCTGGAACTATCAGAGTCGCACAGCAGCTGCGGCCACCAACCTAGGAGGGAGCCACGTGTGGAAGGTGTGCTGGGTCACACTGTCAGGGGGCCTTCAGACTGAGAAACCTGCCTCCAGCAAATAAATATAGATACAACAAATGCCCCAAGTGTCTCAGTGCCTATGCTGACAATCCGCCTTGCCTATAAAGCCTCACACATCTTTCATGGGTTTACTTTTTCTTTGACTTTAAAGCTGGATCCTGCACCCAGCAAGCTCACAGGTGATGGTACCAGTGATGACAGCGCATAGAGGCTTGTGTTTCATAAAGTGATCATCCACTCTTTGCCAGACACAAGTTCTCTGGCAAGCGTGAAGCCACATGTAAGCTAGCAAGAAACATGTACGGGCTCCCGGTCCCCAGCTTGGAGCACTACACTTGACAAGTGTCAGCCCTTAACCTTCAATTAGAAAGAGGCAATGACAGCCTGAGCGACGTGCAGACACCTTGCACACTTGAAGAATTGTTCAATATGTTTTTGCCTTTGTCTTCCTTTTGATTTTGGTCAACACCACCACAGATCCCCCAGAGGCAGCTAGAACAGGCCGTGGGCTTATTTTAGAGGTAGCATTGAAGGGATGGAGTGCAAAGTAACAGGAATATTGAGACCAATAGCTGAAACAGGCTCAGTGTCACCAAAACCTGTATGGAAGTAGTTCCTGAGACCACAACCACTCTCCTCAGAGGACCTTAATTCATTGCCTGCTAGAAGATACTGGGAAAGAAACATAAGGCAGGACTGTCTGGTAGAGGTCAGATGCAGCACCTCTGACCAAAGGAGGGAACCTGCGACAAACCAGTGTGTTCTGATGTCTGCCCTGCTGTAACAGGGGACAGGGATACACAGACAGGTCTCTAGACCAGGAAGACAAGATAGATCATGATGCACTGAGCTTTAAATAAAAAGTCAAGGAAATACAACTGTGGCAAGAGTTCACTCTGACTAAGAGACCAGGAAAGGTTTTATAAGGAAGGTGACATTTGAATTAGCTCTTAAGATACTAATAGGATCTCAACATCCTGGAGCGATGGCAGAGGTGGCAAGACACAGGTAATTAGGCCTGAAGTGCAAACTGAGTCAACAAATACCAGTGGAGAGCCATGTCAGGAGTGTCGACTGGAGGGCAGAAGAGTGAGGCAAAGGGGAAAATCTCCGCCTCTTGGCTGAGCAGAGGAAGTTGGATTTACTTGAGAGGTAATTGGAGAGCAAGAGCAATTTCAGACATGCTGGCCATCTGCACATGTGGATGACGAAGATGCCCCCTCATTGTGAATAAACATGGTCCTGCCTAAGATCAAAAAAAAAAAAAAAGAAAGAAAGAAAAGAAAAGGGAGGAAGGAAG